TTTTTTTTTTTTTTTTTTTAGAGACAGGATCTCGCTATGTTCCCCAGGCTGGTATTGAACTCCTAGCCTCAAGTAATCCTTCTGCCTCAGCCTCTCAAAATGCTGGGACTACAGGCGTGAGCCACCACGCCCAGCCTGCATTATCTCATTTAATTCCCACAACAACCCTATGATGTAGGTATTGTTATTGCCTTCATTTAACAGATGCAAAAACTGAAGCACAGAAAAATTTGATGATTTGCTGAAGGCCACATAGTTACTGCATGCTGGATATTTCAGAGCCTTCAAGTGTCCCTTTAGAGGAGGAAACTGAGACTGAGGGAGGTGAAGTCATTTGTCCAAGAACCCATATCTAGTAAGTGCTGGAATTGTAATTCAAACCCAGGCTCTGTCTGGTACCAAAGCCACCAGTAATCACTACACTGTCATGAATAGAAGCTATTAAAATAGAGAATATGTGTGTATTTTTCTCGACCCAGCTCTGTAAGGCTAAATGTTCCCTGAATTTAGATGATGGTAAGAATTTGCCCTATTCCATAAAATTGACAGTGAGAGCATGTGCTTCCTTGGTAATGCCCCATACGGTATAGTGCAACCAGGATATTTGTAGAAAGCCTCATGGTAAAAGCAGAGACTGAGAAAAACAGAGCTACACACGCAGAGTGACAATAGCTGAGTTCTCATGTGACTTCTTCAGGTGGCTCCCTGACATAAGATTTACTTCATCATCCTTCCATGAAGAGAATGCTCTGTGAAGGAGAAAGTCCCTGGCTCAGATGCCTTTCTAGGATTTCCTAACAAGCTGTTCTGATACCACCAGCCCAAGTTCATAGACTATATGCATTATCCTCGTTGTGAAGTATCATCATGTAGCAAAGAGCATGAGCTGAGAAGACCAGCTTAATTGCTATCTGCTCAGAGATGACTGGCTTTCCAGTGAGAACAATGTGTGCAGCATGCAGAGGCCAAAATCCCTGCTATTATCCTCACTTGTCACTGCCAGGACTTTTATCGGGTGATTGGTTTTTGAAATATAGCTTGATACTAGTCTTCAGATTTGGAATATTACTAATGTTTAATCAGAACATTATTTTTCTTTTCAGAGCAGGAGTGGAAGTTTATTAAAAAGCTTTAGAGCAGGAAAGAAAGGAAAGTGCACTTCGAAGAGATCCAAGTGGGTCATTTGAAGAACAAGCGCCCCGTTTAACCATGATCCTAGGACTTTATAGGCTGGCCTACCTCCGGTGTCTTGCATCCCTTTCCCAAGTTTCTTCCCTTAGGGTGGGCTGCCTGCATGCACAGTGCCCTCTTTACCCTTGGGAAGTGAGTATGTGCAGTGTGTTTAGGAAGTTGTACACTTGAGAACATTATCATTCTTAATTCAGGGATACAATTTACAAGGTTCTGCTGTCTTCTTAGCTTTGGTTCTATTACACCCAAAGAGCAGTTTGTGTGTGTGGTATGTATGCATGCATGTGTGTGTGTGTGAACTCTATCCAATTTTATAAAATCTCTTCTAGTTCTATTTTTTCTGTGACCAATAAGTTCACAGAAAGAGAATGTATGTGGTATACAGTAAACCGAATGGGAAGTCACACTACATGTACATTCTACATGCACATACTGGTACATACTGAGTGTTGCTAGGTACCAAGAGCTATGTGAGATAAAAAGTTGTATAATGGTCAGGCATGGTGGCTCACCCATGTAATCCCAGCACTTTGGAAGGCCAAGGTGGAAGGATCCCTTGAGCTCAGGAGTTCAAGACCAGCCTGGGCAACATAGTGAGACCCTGTCTTTACCAAAAATAAAAAATAAAAAAATAAAAATAAAGTTGTATAAGATACAGTTCTTGCCGTCAAAGAGCTTATTCTACATTTCCTCCATTGAGCAGATGATAATGCTACCTGGCTTCCTAATTCCCTGGTGGTTCCCATGCTTGGTTGATTTGTCTTTCATTAGCAGCATAGCCTAGGAAGACCATTAATCCTAACATAGTGAAATCAAATTTAATATTTTGATAGCAAGAAATGATAAGATAATAATATTCCATTGAGAGTGCAGAGAGGCAAGTGGGAACACACAGTAAGATTCCCAGGAGGTGATATGTTCTGGACAAAGTTGAGATAGTTGCATGGCCCAGTGAAAAGAGAAAATAACTTCAAGAGTCAAGTTAACCTTTCAACCAGAAGTGTGCCCCTTCTTTGGTGACAGGTAGGGACAAATGCTTATAGGAGAAAGCTAAAGGAATAAATTTTCTTCACTACCTTTCTTCCACGTAGAAAGCTCTTTTTGCTTTGCCTGTGAATTCTGGGAGAACAAGAGGCTATGGTTGTAGAATGAGGCAATGAAAGATGACAGACCACTGGTTTTCCAGAGAGCAGAGCAAACCGAAGGGAAGATGGAGGCACTGATAGCCTCAACAACAACTGAATAAATAAAGCGCTTTCCCTGGAAAAATATATGTATAAAATATTCAGCTGGCATTAAATATTAAAAATGAATTAATGAAAACACCCAAAACACTTTATTTATGTAGGAAGTTTTTCCCCTTTAAAAAATGCTGTTTTAAATCTCAGCATCACTTCAGATGTGATCTAGGCAGAAGGTAGTGTGGCCTCCGGAGGGGTAGGCACTATAAGAATGAGGATAAATGGAAGTAACCTCCAAGCGAGCCTCCTGTGACCTCCTGCCGATTCACTGTGGTAAGAAGGGTCCAATTTTTATTCTATGATTGAGAGATTGCTAGGTGACAGATGCTCCTAGGGAGACCCAGTATTTCCCAGCGCCTGTACATATGTTGAAAGGGTGAGGAAAATTAAAGTCATTTGCACCTGATTCTGACACCATGCATCTCCCTTCCCTTCTTGGGGGTTCCGATGGGGAGGAATTAACACCTTCCACCTGGCATTGCCTCTGACTAGCTTTGTGTGCTCCTGTGGGTTATTATGTTGGTTGGTACTTTGGCTTCTTTGGCTCCCAGCACCAGCTGATGCCCTGATCTGAGTCCCAGTTGGGCAGGCTCTATTGCTCAGTGCTGTAGCTGTCTCCAGGGCATTGTTCTTGAGACTTCCAACAGGGCAGATTTGTGCAGTTGGCCCATCTGGACAAGATCTATAACAAGTAGAGCTCTGTGCAATAAGCTCATCTCCATAGTTCACCCTCCCTGCTACCCCCGCCTTCGGGCTGCAGCAGCCTGACACCCCAGCCCCTCCATGGAGAGTATCAAAGAGATGCTCTCTGCTCCTTTCAAAGGAGTATTGCTTGTGGCCTCTCATTGATTGGCACTACCTGGGCAGAAATAGGAAAACAGGGGTTTTCTGCGCTTCTCAATTCTATCTGCTCCCTTATGCCAGTTATTTTGTTTTAAATCTCCTTGGCACCAGAGTTATAATACTGCCAATAAAAATAATTTCTGGGCCAGCTACCTGGTCAGCTCAGAATGCTCTTCTCAAAACTAAGAGACAGGCAAGAGGAGTATCTCAGTGAACAGGAAAGAGCAGACAAGCGCAATAGGAAAAGGGATAAAGACAAAGTCAAGCTGTTGGTTTGATTATAGGATTTGCTTTCACCATTGGATTTATTGACTTTCAATTTGGATCACCATATGGAGGGAGGGAGGGAAGGAGAAAGAGAGAGAGAAAAGGAGAGAGAGAGAAAGAGAGAAGCAGAGAGAGAAAGACTGGACTTATGTGCTTAATTATTCTAGGTTCAGGGAAAAGGACAAGATGTCTAAGAGATCATTTGATCACTTCTTTCTTCCAGTGTCAGTTCCATACTTTAATCTTTCCTGTTTCAGTTGCTCACAGTTGGTCACTTCAAAGGTCTCAGTGTGCCAGGCACATGCTTCCGCATGTCCCAGTGGTATGTCAGGCCTGAAGTGGGCTTTTCCACACCAACCCTCTCTATTCTGGCATTTCTGGTAGCTTCAACTGACTTCTACACCTACTCACTGCTTCTCTTTGTGGAGCAAGAAGGGTGAAGAAGCAACTCTGAATTATGGCTCTTTAACTTCTACACCTGCTACCCTGATGTTGGTCAAATCAATGTTGATCTAGTATAGGGGTCCTCTACATGCCTAGTTCCTCCCCAGGAAACTTGAAGCCCATTCTATCCTTAACAAGGTTGCAGTGGCACCATTTACTCACCAAAAGGAGATGAAGGACCACGTTGGAAATCAGGGGCCCTGGAAAATAGAGACTTTGGAGAGAAAGAAGAAACAAATGAAAGCCCAGCCAGCAAAAGACACTCTGTGAATAGTTTCTCTATTCTACTCCTCCTGGGTTCCACTACCTTGGAGCTCACTTTTCTCGAAAGTTTTCTAGCATCATCAAGTAAGTTTCTTAAAGAACAAGTATTTTTCTCTTTTTACACTCCCCAGCTGTCCAACAGACCCTGCCACCATGCTAGTTAATTAGGAAACGGAACGAATATTTCTGAGACCAGAATGTTCTGGTGGACCTGGAAGGGTAGTCTTTTTGAGAGCCCAAAGTCTCTACCCCAATTCTGACAGTAATTTCTGGACCAGCTACCCTGGTCAGCTCAGAATGCGCTCCTCAAAACTAAGAGACAGACAAGAGGAATATCTCAGTGAACAGGAAAGAGCAGACAAGCGCAATAGGAAAAGGGATAAAGACAAAGTGTGGGGCTTTCCAAGAGCCCCTCTCTGTTGGGGCTGAACACCTCTCTGTTGGGCCATATAGTCGCTAGCCCAGTGCAGCCTATGACTGTTCCAACCTTGTCAAGAGCTGGGGAACCTGTGGCTTTGCCTTCCTCTCACTGCGAGGAAACCTGACTGGGCCCCCACAGGGCAGTACTTGTGGATAGGAAAAACTCCCCATTTGAATCAGCAGCAGGAGGGACAGAGGACAGAGTAATGGCCAGGCTCTGGATGGGAGATAGCAGGGGGAGAAGTGGTGCAGATTAAGATGACAAATGCCAGAATCTAGTAGCAGTGTTCTGAATATTCTCCACTGGAGTATTGGAAAACAGAGAGGCTCCAGCAAGAGAAGAAGGTCATCCTGGCCCCAGGAATGTGGCCAAACCTTAGTCTCATGAGAAGTGGGAAAGTATGGAGAAAATATGGACTAGGGTAGATAAGCCATCTTTTTAAGTACAGCCACCATTGGCACCATGCAGTATAGGCCCACATAGCTTTGGGAGTGGTAGTTGAAGTTCTGAGTGGGAGATCAGGAAGAAACTGTCCAAGCCCTAATGGAGTCTAATTGAGGGAGAAAGCCCACCCAGGAGGAAGCAGGAGGCCAGCAGCAGGACTCTATAGCTCCCACCCTATTCACAGAGCCTGGTGGATATCTTCTGACCGTAGCACTTTATAGACAACCCAGTAGAAGATATTGAAGATGAGGAAAGTGAAAGGGAAGACAGCCCGGGAGATGGTGTCAATTCTCTTGGCTCGGTCCACGTAGAGTTTCCGCATGGTTTCTCCTTCCCTTAGAAGAGGGGCTGGAGGTTGGGGACTATAAATGCCAGAACCTTCCATTGGACCTCCATCTCTTGCCTGCAGGCAGTGGCCCAAGCCATAGCCACGGAAATAGAAACGACTTTCTTGGATGATATCTTCCTCCTGGAATTACAAGGAAGAAAAGGCAGAATTTGAGGTCAAAGCTCAAAGGCAGAGGGATAGAGAACAGACCACACATCAATATCTCATAGGGGATGTTATGCAGACAAGGTGCCTAGGGTACACAGGCCCACTGCATGCTTTTTATGGTCACAACACTAGTCATGAGATAGATGTATGCTAAGCAGCTATATGTGCTACATATGGTGTATGTTATGATTCCATTGCAGATAGGCTCCAAGCCACCCATGTAAAATGCAAAACATCATTTAGAGCCACCTAAAATCCAGCGAAGTGCCAGCCACTGTGAGAGGACATCTCAATGTCAAGTTATCTCTGACTGGTAATAAACAAAACAACAAAACTATTAGATAGTGAAGCTGAGATATTCAGTCTTAGTAAACTCGACTTTAATGACTTTCAAAAGCTTCAGAATTCATTCCCCTTTTGTATCGTATCTTTGAAAATTTATCTCAACTTACAACTGAAAATTCCAAAAGTTTTAAATAACCCAATGAGTTATCCAAATTAGGATAAAGCTGATCACTTTATTGCAGATATGTGTGCTACTCTGCAAATCAGCAAATTTGACACAGGGGTCAGTACATCCAGGGTAATTTTTATTACCCAAGGCACATTCCATCCATATATAATGTGTGCATTATGACAAACAGATGCCCAGTGAGGGGTAAATTTTATATAAGCACTAAGTAATGCGGCAGACTGCCAAAAGTCCATTTTCCAATAGTTAGCTGACAACCTTTAGTAGCTAAACACAGCTGGGAGCCAGGAAGTAGGGACAGAAAGATAAAGTTGAGAGAGAAAGAGAGAGAGAGAGAGAGAGAGAGAGAGAGAGAGAGAGAGAACCAAAACCTCTGAGTGTCAATAGAGGGAGCTTTACTTATATGAGGCCCTGAGGCCCCCATTCACAACCTATTTAGTCTTATTTTATATGCAACCCTAACAAACCTAATTTTATTTACTTCTAAAGGACAGAGTTGAGAAATCCTTCCTTCAAAGATGGTGGTAATTTCTTAAAGTATTCATGGTTTTAGAGTCAAAATTTCAGGTATCTAAGAAATCACCTGAAGTGCAATGGCCCCTTGGAGGACGATGCAAACTGTCACTTCAGTTTGTCCAGGACGGAAAGGGTTCCTGAGACTTGGGTCTTTCAGGGCTGAAACTGGGGAAGTGCAAGGCAAATCAGGAAGAGTTGGTCATCCTGTGGCTACCTGAGGTATTTATTATAAATTGTAAGAAAAAGATATGTGTATATTGTATAGGTATGACATAGATATATGCAAAATGTGGATAAAGTAGATTTTAAACACTCTGTCCCTCTCAGTTAGAGGGACACCACAGGGTCTTTATCATGGGCCCTCTGCAGCTATAGCAACACATTGAAAAATGGCTTTGCCAGGCACGGTGGCTCACACCTGTAATCCCAACGCTTTCAGAGCCCGAAGCGGGCAGATCACGAGGTCAGGAGTTCAAGAACAGCCTGACCAATATGGTGAAACGCCTTCTCTACTACAAATACAAAATTTAGCTGGGCATGGTGGCAGGCACCTGTAATCCCAGCTACTCAGTAGGCTGAGGAATCGCTGGAACCTAGGAGGCGGAGGTTGCAGTGAGTGCAGATCGCGCCAGTGCACTCTAGCCTGGGTGACAGAGCGAGACTCCGTCTCAAAAAAAAAAAAAAAAAAAAAAAGAAAAGTGGCTTTGTGTATGAGATGTTGGTGTTGCAGGTCCTAGTAACCCTTGATGATGACATGACTAGAAGCTGACCTGTCATCATAAAGACTATTCTGACAGGGGAGGTTGTGCTGGACCCATTTGCGAGGTGAAGAACCAGAGGCAAACAAAATATTTTGCAATAATTTTAAAATGAGGGGAGTAAGTAAAATGGTTTTCTCCCTTGATTTCCAGTTCAGGGTCCTTCAGATAACCCTGTTCCCCAGTACTCAACCTGATTCCCTGAGCCCCACCCCGGCTAGAGGATGTAAGCAAAGGATGTTGGCAAAAAAGCTCTGAGGGGGAAAGTTGGATCCAACTGCTATTTCTGTTTCTATAGATCCAACTATTTTCCCTTTTCTCCAATCATAGTAAGTCTAAAGGGAATTATCTGGACACATTTCCCAGGCTGGAAAAAGCCATTTCACACGGGAGAGAAAATACGGCCAATAGAGTAAGCTGCTCTTGGCTTTTTATGATATTAACATATTGTACCTGTTGTAGCTGGGGGAGCAAAGATGAGTGGCTTGAAATCCAGGGGTGGGGCATCCTGCATTTGGGTATTCTCTCTTTAGGCCAAATTCTGAGGGGTGTTTGTGTATGGTGTGTGTGTGCTGGAAAGGGACATTGGAACCTTAAATACCACTTTGTGGCTTACATACCTATTAAAATAGAACTTTTTTTTTTTTCCTGGCTATCTGTAGGGGAGAAGGACTGAGAAGCTAGAGAGGGATGATATCTCATAACTATGCTAAGGAGGGAATACACAGTGTAGGAGGTAAAGTGTGGAGATGGGAAAGAGTGATATGTATTGAAGTGAGAGGGGCTAGAAAAAAGGAGATTACAGAATGGGGAATGAAGAGGGTGCTGGAGGATGAAGAGAGGTGGGCAGGGTTCTGGGACCAAGACCTTGAGAGGACTGGGAAGTATTTTGAAATTTCTTCCAGTTATCAAATTATTCTATTGATCATGGCAAAGCTTTTGCTCTGTCCAGTTTGAGAGACAGTCCTCTCCAATCAGCCTGTGAAAGCTGGTGAGCTGGGTTACGTGACTGCTGTGGCCAGAGCCTGGTGCTAAGACCTGCTGAGGAAATGAAAAAGGGCTTCCCTTTCCTGGGGAAGTTTACGGACTAGCTGGGAAGACAGTGCAGGATCGCATGGGTAAAAAGTAAACCACTTTAGGCAGTGACATGAAAGGGAGCCACCATGCTATGGAGTTGTTGGTTGAGGAGAGAGTTGAGAGGAAAAGACGTGAATGGCTGGCTGGCTCCTAGAACACTCCTAACTGACTCTCGGCTAAGGGTTCCCTGGAGATCACATGGATTTTCTCCCTGCCCTCTCAGACTGAAGAATTCTTTTTCTCTAGCTGGAACAGTAGGGCCCAGACAGAGGTTCTATAAATGGATGAACTCTCCATCAATTTTTTCAGCCTGCTTGGTGCCTCCAAAATTCCTGCTACAGGTCCTGGGATAGCAGTGACTTTAGAAGACTCAAAAAGGACACGGGTTTGATTTTCAGTTTTATTCACATTAATAATAAACCTCAGCCCACTTCAGGCAGGCCCCAGAGTCCTAAGCAAGGCCCAGGCTGCTGTTGTAACTTTGTAATAATTGAGCACTGGTCATGACAGAGGCCATTATGAGCTCAGGATCAGCCTATATATATGAGCAGGAGGGGACAGGCTGTAGGCAGTTGCAGGCTGCAGGAGTTCAGGAAAGGAGGTGGGACTAGTGTCAACCTGGAGTAGCTCTACAGTAACGATGGCAGCCTTTTTGTTGCTGGGACATCCATACAGGCAACTTAGCTGGTGAAAGGACTCTGGATTGGTTGGCAGTCTGCTTTTTTTTTCCCCAAGGTAGGCATTGAGAAGGCACCAAGATCAAAACTCCTATAAATATAAGATTTTGGTACCTGCAGGCAGATTTGTTCGACACAGCTAAAGAGGGGGTGGGGACAGTTAGCTTAGAAAATGGAGTGTCCTTTTCTTGCCCTTCTGCTAGGTGTGTGTATGTGTGTGTGTATATATATATATATATATATATTTTTTTTTTTTTTTCCTAACCCTTGGTATGGGTTAGGAAATGCTTTTAGGTTTCTTGAAGAATGAGTCCTACTCCAGGACATGTAGTTGTGGATTAGTCCACTAGAGGGCATACTGCCCAGGGACCAACTAAAGGACTAAAGGGCAGGGACTGATAAATTTAAACCACTAGATGAGACAGGAGCCCTGCCCTCAGCAGAAAGGGACCTTAGCAAGGGACATGAAACCAAGGCTGTAGTTTGTGAGATATTTTTAGTGCGGACATATGGTAGGGGTGCCCCTGGAGCAGCTGAGGTGGAAGGTGGTGTGTTAGGAGGAGAGAACAGTCCTTGTGCTAGTGTGGCCCAGACAAGCTAGAGTCAGGATTTTAACAGTAGGTTCAAAGCATTGTTTCCCATCCCCCAGAGGTCATTATGCTCTTGCCTCTCTGGCTTTAGAGCCTCCAGATTAGACAGAAAACATGGAGTCAGAGCTGAAGACAGACCAGAACTCTGTGTCTCTAATGATTAAGCAACCAGTAGGTAGCTCAGCAAGCCTTTCAGCTTTGCTCATAATTGGACACTTGCTTCTGTGAGGCTGGCCCAGGCACCTCTGTTGTCATGACAACTTACCTAGCACCTATTGTCTGGGCAATTGGGGGTAAACTGCCTCTGTTGTCATGACGACAAGATGTCTTTTATATCTCCCCAGGTGATCACTTTACTGTAGAAGAAATGAGGTTAACAGAAAAGAGTGAGGAAGAACAACAACCCAAGCCCAACAACTCTAATGAACCCAATGAAGATCAAGAAGAAGAAATCCAACAGTCAGAACAGGCAAGTGGTGGTTTCTCAATTCCAACTTAGTTATGGGGGCCCTCTTATAATGCTCCCCTAGAAAGGCACCAATGCCTGACTGTTGAATTCTTAACTACCAATTAGTGTATGACAACCTGGGCTACCTTCCTCCAGGTTGTGGGGGGAGCAATTACTACTTCTCAAAGCAATCTCTTTTTATTTATTTATTTATTTATTTTTATTTTTATTTTTATTTTTTTTGAGACGGAGTCTCACTCTGTCACCCAGGCTGGATTGCAGTGGTGATTGCAGCTCACTGCAACCTCCACCTCCCAGGTTCAAGCGATTCTCCTGCCTCAGCCTTCTGAGTAGCTGGGATTACAGGTGCCCGCCACCATACCCGGCTAATTTTTGTATTTTTAGTAGAGACGAAGTTTCACCATGTTGGTCAGACTGGTCTTGAACTCCTAACCTCGTGATCCACCCGCCTTGGCCTTCCAAAGTGCTGGGATTACAGGCGCGAGCCACTGCACCCAGGGTTTCTGATTGCCTGTCTAGTCCTTGCAGCTCTGGGGTGGGTCTTGGTTTGTGGGGAGGAGGAGTAGGGAGAAAGGAGTCCAAAGGAGAAAGGCAGTGGGCCCCTCCCTAGTTGTACTCACCATGCGCTGGCGCCTCTGCCTTCTTCGAAGTCGTATGAATTCTTTATGCTGACGAGAAACAAAATTGACAGCAGCATACTCCAGCAAGGCAGCGAACACAAAGAGCAGACACACAGCCATCCAGATGTCGATTGCCTTCACGTAGGACACCTGCAACATCCAACAACAGAACTATCAACCTTCTTGAAGTCCTTCCATGGCCTACTGAGTCGATTTCCAACCCCTATCGATTGCCTGCTCTTTTTGAACTTTATCCTGAATTTTTTCTGGTGTTTAAAGAAGCTTTCCACGACATATCCCATCGTCTGAAAGCCCAGATGGAAAAGATAGGACTGCCCATCATACTCCACCTCTTTGCACTCTCCATACTCTACCTCTACAAGTTCTTCTTTCCTACAATTCTTTCCCTTTCTTTCTTTATTCTTCTTGAACTTTTGCTTCTGCTTTTTATTATTGTCTTCATTCTGAGCTTCTTTTGATTCTTTTCTTTCAATAAACAGTAATGAGCATGAACACTGCATTTGTCTTCCCTCTGTTATCTCCTAGGGTCCTCACAGCCTCAGTGGTAATTGGTCAGGCAGGGTTCACAATACCAATGTGAGACACATGAGGACACTTAAGGCCCAGAGCAGATGGGTCTTAGCCAAGATTACCCAGTGAGAAGGTGGCACTAGGACCTGGATGTTCTGGGCTTTCAATTCAGTGGCATTGCCATTTACTTAGGCTGCGGTCTCACTGACAGACTGGGAGTTCCTTCCTCCACCCCTGTTCTTCCCCTGGTCTTGTGGTTTTCCTTGTTGCTCTTTTGGAAAGGCTTTGCTGATGAATTTAGCTCAGTAGTGAGCTGGGGCCTCATCTCTCACCCTGGAGAGAACAGGGCAGGGATACTGAGGGAACACCACCCACCCCTTTAAGGATGCTTTGCTAGTTGCAAGATGTGGTTGGCATCCACCTATCCAGTCCCTTGTACTCTCCCCTCACTACTTTCCTTGGCAGCCTCCAAATACTTTTGTCTCCCACTTTCTGGCCTCTTCCAGGCATTGCAAATGGGTGGGGCCAGGAGTGAGGGACAGAGCTCAGGTTTAGATCTTTTCATCTCCTCAACCAAATTACCTGCTACATAGCTTTCAGCTGCTGAGCTCACCACATAGGGCACCCCAGCAAGAACAGAATTTCGGACAGGCCACTTCTTTCATCAGCCGCTGCTATGATGGGAAGTGAGAGTGCTGCAGATCCCAGGTAAGGAGCAAGTTTCACTGGATAAATAAATCCTCTACCTCAGTGATTCTTAACTGGGGACAACTCTACCCCCCGCCAGGGACATCTGGTAATATTTGGAGACATTTTTGGTGGCACAATTTTGCAAGAGGTGGTGGCTACTGGCATCTAATGGGTACAGGCCAGGGATGCTGCTAAACATTCTACAGTACACAGCTCCCTGCCTGGCCTTCAACACACAGACATGCACACACAGAGACACACATACAGGCACATACAGACACACACAGACACACACAGACACACATACAGACAGACACACACACATGCACGCACACAACAAAGAATTATCTGGCCCCAAATGGCAAGAGTGCTAAGGGTGAAAAATCCTGCTCTAACTCTTTTAGGGCAATGTCACTGAGATAGTGGCAGTGGGTTACTAGACACCCCTGATGAAGCATCCCTTGGTGTCTCCATTTTGCCACTTTGCCACTTACTAAGAGGGCATCCTATTTCATTCACCATCCCTCAGTCTGACAGTGCCCCCAAGGATATCAAATACCTGCAAGATCAATAATGAGGTAATTACTCATCATTATAAAAGGATGGCCATGAAGGTCCTTAGACCATCAAAGGAAAAGACACTTTAAGCACTAGGAAGAAAGTCCTGTTAATGATAAGTGTGTTAATAATACATCTCGAAAATCTTGGCTGGGCGTGGTGGCTCATGCCTGTGATCCCAGCACTTTGGGAGTCCGACAGGCAGATCACTTGAGCCCAGGGGTTTGAGATCAGCCTGGCCAACACAGCCAAAACCCGTCTCTACTAAAAACACAAAAAATTAGCTGGGTGTGGTGGTGCATGCCTGTAATCCCAGCTGCTAGGGAGGCTGAGGTGGGAGAATTGCTTGAACCCGGGAGGCAGAGGTTGCAATGAGCTGAGATCGTGCCACTGCACTCCAGCCTGGGCAACAGAGTGAGACTCTGTCTAAAAAACAAAAACAAAAACAAACAAAAACTCAGGAATCTGTCCACTCACTATTCTGGCACACCTGAAGGGTTGCAAGTTTTCTGAATGGTCTCCTTGCATCTACTCTTGCCACCTCCAATCTGTTCTCCAAACAGCAGCCAGAGTTGTTTTCAAAATGTAAATCTGATTATATCACTCCCCTTCATGATCCTTCAGTGGTTCTCCATTACCCTTATAATACAGTCTATGCTCCCCTTATCATGATATCTAGCCTTTGCCTACCTGTTCATTTCATCACACCCCTTGTAATCTGCTGTGGTAAACTATTTCTGTAGTTTCCCAAAGAGCCAATCTCCTCTATCCTTTCTCTCATTTACCTGGATAACTTTTACTTATCCTTCAGCTTTCACTTTAGATACCACATCCCCTGGGAAGCCTTCCCTAATCATCCCAGTCTGTGTTGGTTGTCCTGCTATATGTGCTCAGGTTACCTACAACTTCTTAGCATCCATCACATACCTGGCCATTCCCTCAACTAGACTGTGAGCTCTTCGATGGCACGGACTGTTTCTATCTCAATCACTGTTCTGCTTCCAATGCCTAGCTGAGTTTCTGGCCTATAGTAAATATGTTTTTGAATGAATGAACAGATAGACGGTTTAGCAACATGTGATGTGCATATCTGCTGGTTTCTGCTTGCTGTCTACCTACCCTCTTTACCACTACCTGCCCCAATAGCTATAGGCCATTGAGATGATAGGATCTAGACAGAAGTGGCTCCTTCCCTGCTGCAACTTTAGGTCTAATCTCCTAGCCTCTGGAAGAAACTTCCATTTAGTCCTTCCATCCTGCTTTGAGTTCCCTGCAGTTGAGGGGATCAAAGGCCCAGCAAAGAGATGGTAATCAGTGCCTTTGGTGGCACCATAAAGGCAAAGTAACAGTTGTTTCCTGGGAACATGAGAAATGGTCACTCCAACTGAGTTCCCTTACAAAGTAAGCCTCTGCCACTCTCATTCTGGACACTAGAGTTGTATTAGGGGGTGTGAGATTAGTGTGGCTTTTGGAAGCCCCTAGACTGACCTCATGCGGCCCCCACCAAACTTAATGTTACACAAACTCCAGAGTCAGCAGGCAGTCCCTGGCTTACTGAGTCCCTTGCTCTGAGGGGCTGGATAATGAGGCTATTTAGTTCACGGTGCAGGCTTGGATATTTTGCTTACTGGCCAATGAGGCCATGAAGAAGTCATTAAAATTTGACAAGGTGGTACCAAATGCTGCAAACAACCCTCCAACAAAGACTGTTTTTTCCAAATAAGGAAACTAAGTGATTCCTGGGAGCAGATGGATCATGTTCACTCATAGGAGGGAACCAGAAAAGGAAGTTCTCTTGGCAAGAATAAGGCATAAATTTCAGTACCTCCCTGCTTTAGAGATGAATCACCTTGTGTGGCAGAGGTAATAAACTAGGGCAGGGTTCTTAGGTCTGAACTACTTTTCTGCTTCTGGTCTCCTTACAAGACCATTATCAAAACACGACCATCACAGCCTGGTCTGGCCGTGTAGCCCTTGCCTAACTCCAGCCTGCCTCTCAGAGCCTTGTCAATATCCCTGTCCATCTAGGAAACACATTTACAGAAAATGATCTCTAACAGCGTTTCCTGGGACATGTGATTCTGATCTGAGTTTTGTCACCACTTATCCCTACAGGGCTTCGGACCACTTCAAAGGGTTTCTGACAACTCAAAAATAATTAGGGACGATACCAGCTGCTTTAGCCCCAGATTCATCACTCAGTTTTTTCAGCCCTGACACCTGATAATTATAACAATAGTTAACATTTACTGAGCGATTATTATGTGCCAAACACTGTCCTGTGTGTTAATATATTATATTTTGCAATAACCCTATGGAACTGGTAATATTCTCTCTCTCTCTCTCTCTCTCTCTCTCTCTCTCTCGACAGAGTCTTGCTCTGTTGCCCAGGCTGGAGTGCAGTGGTGCATTGGCTCAGTGCAACCTCCGCCTCCCAGGTTCAAGCGATTTTTCTGCCTCAGCCTCACACGTAGCTGGGATTATAAGCACACGCCACCACACCCAGCTAAATTTTTTTTTGTATTCTTAGTAGAGATGGAGTTTCACCATGTTGGCCAGGCTGGTCTCGCACTCTTGTCCACGTGATCCGCCTGCCTCGGCCTCCCAAAGTGCTGGGATCACAGGCGTGAGCCACCGCGCCCAGCCGGAACTGGTAATATTCTTATTCCCGCCGGGCGCGGTGGCTCAAGCCTGTAATCCCAGCACTTTGGGAGGCCGAGACGGGTGGATCACGAGGTCAGGAGATCGAGACCATCCTGGCTAACACGGTGAAACCCCGTCTCTACTAAAAAATACAAAAAAATAGCCGGGCGAGGTGGCAGGCGCCTGTAGTCCCAGCTACTCGGGAGGCTGAGGCAGGAGAATGGCGGGAACCCGGGAGGCGGAGCTTGCAGTGAGCTGAGATCCGGCCACTGCACTCCAGCCCAGGCGACAGAGCGAGACTCCGTCTCAGAAAAAAAAAAAAAAAAAAAAAATTCTTATTCCCATGTTACAGGCAAGATGATTGAGAGGTTAAGGAATTTACCTAAGGTAAATTATTAGTAGATGATGAGCTTGGGAGACAAACCCAGATCTGCTGACCCCAATCTCCTATTCCTAATCACTACCCTACTCCCAGCCATGTAGCACATTCATAAATTCACCATGGATGTGTGAAATTACCTGCTGTGTAAGCCCCCAGTAAAAAGTCTTCTTAGGAACAAGCACTGAGAGATGGGAGATCATAGGGCCTGGTTCCCAACAAATCAGTGCAAGAGGGAATATATTCATTGTAAGATCCACAAGAAACTGTGTTGCTTTTGCTTCCTGTTATTTCTACATGACAAAGTTCAGTGGCTGGTACATAGTACATGCTCAATAAATATTTATTGAATGAATAAATGGCGTTGCTCCCTGATTTGTTCAGAGCTTTGCTGACTGTAAGGACTTTGAGGTGACCTCTAAATTCCCTACATGAAGACATGAGACAGGGAGAATCTGTGCCCAGTCCCATCAGCACAAATCTTCCTGCGTAATCAAAACATCACCGGGCCCAGACAACTGGAGTCCACTGACTTTAATTGCTATTTTCTACCTCAATTTTCTCATCCCAAAAGAATGGATACTGTCTCTAGAGCGCTTTGTGATAGTTTCTAATTTCTGATACAGTAAGACAGAAATTGGTTCAAAACTCTGATATTCTTTTGGTTGTTTCTTACAAGGCATGATCTTAAGAAGGTTATTTTACCACTCTGGGCTATATTCTCCTCATCTGTATCATGAGGGAGTAGGACTTTCTACTTGCTGAGGATCTTTTGACCTTGGACATGCTAATATTTGCTGAAGAGAGTCAAAGTAAGACACTGTCTCTCCTCATTCCCTAGGCAGATAGCATCCCTAACCCCAGCCTCCACACTGTCAACAATGTTATTCGCAGTATATTACAGGGAGAGAGAGAATGCAGGACACCAGTTCTTGCCCAGTGGGTCTTCTCAACCTTAAATCCAAGGTAAATGGTGAGCAGGAGGGCACATTGGGATGAATGGGAAATGGGGTGCTCTATGGCAAGCAAGTTCCCTTGCATGTCTCTTCACCTTAGGCAAAGAGGCCCGGGAGCCAGAGCTCTGGGTGGTCATGGTGAGCACGGTGGTGATGCCCAGGCCCACACGGGCAGGGGCAGCATCCATGTTGATCCAGAAGGAGACCCAGGACAGGATGACGATGAGTAGGCTGGGGATGTACATCTGAATCAGATAGTAGCCCATCTGCCGCTCCAGGTGAAACTTTACCTCGATGCAGGTGAATTTCCCTGCAAGGACAGAGGTGAGGAGTCAGGCCCCAGGTCCCCAGTCTGTAGCTGAGCCTAAGGGGATTAGGACAGGACGAGGGCAGCCCTCTGCTGACCAGCCTCTGGGCACCTCAGCTGGGCCAATGAATGAGCCTTTCACAATGGCCCCAGGCAATGCCAGATGTATATACCAAGGAAGCTCTCAGAACCACCATCAAAGACTTGGCCTTTTGCTCCCAGCACTTTCATTTCCAGGAGAAGGCCTTTCACGAGACGGCACAGCAAGAGGATAAGGAGCAGGAGGGCTCCAGAGTCAGATTGCCTGGGTTTGAATCCTGAACCTTCCACTGTGTGACTTTGTGCTTTGAGCTTCAGTCTCCTTGACTGTAAAACAGAGTAGTGATACCAACTCCATCACTGGGCTATTGGAAAAATTAAACAAGATAATGTATTTGAGGTGTTTGACACATAGGTAGCTGTTACTATTATCATTATTAACAAAGCAATTGGCTTAGACTCCACTTAGATCTCAGCAGCCATGCTTGTGCTTGCTAGTGCCCCAGAAGCTCTCTAGCAACAGCAATTCACTGGGATAAACACTGCTTGTGTCTTAAGCAAGTGAGAAGAGCCGGATAGCAAACATCTGAAAACCGCCCAACAGAGACCAGCTCCAGACTGCGGGGAGCAGGTTCCCATAGAGCATCAGGCTGCAGCATTCTATTCCACCAGCAAAAAGTGCATTAGCCCAGGCACACCAACCAATGCTCCACCTCCTTTGGCAACCTTCACTTTACTCTGCTTTCCAGGGCCCTAGGGCTGAGAAAATACTAGCTCAGAGCTTCTCTTGGAAGCAGAGGCTCAGGATAATCCAAGCAAAAAGGAGAAGATGCATATATTGTTATTTTATTCTGGCCTAGGTCTAGTCTTATCAGGCCTACTTGATTCTTCAAAGCCGGTGATTTCGTCAATGACTGATTATGGTTTTGACACATTGTATGATACTGTGACCTCTTACTGTTCCCTGAATCCACCTCACTTCATCCCACCCCGGGATTCTTGTCATGACATGCCTTTATTAGGTACCCATATTTTCTTTCCCTTCTTTCCTTCTTCTTTTTTTTTTGCAGTAGCAGTTTTGTTTTTAATTCCAAAATTAAAACTTGTTTAGTATAGAAAAAATGAGAAGTAGAGAAGGGATAATAATATTCATAAGCTTATATTTATGCTTATGAATACTACTAAGGACCTGACTTCATATACTTTATCTCATTTAATCCTATAGCAACTCTTTGGGGCAAGTAAAATTATTATCTCTCATATTACAGATAGGAATATGGAGGCATGAAGAGATTAAATTATGTTTCTCAAGGGCACTCAACTAGTAAATGATGGAGCCAGAATCCAAACTCAGCTCTATCTGCCTCCAAACTTCTTGCTTTTATCTGTTGTATCACATTACTTTAGAGACATTTAGTGCTATTTCCACCCAAAGTTTTTAAATGCATGCTTTTGGTTTATTTCTTTTACCATAATATAATCATTCTGTATTTATACCTCTGAATCTTACCTTTTTTCACTTGTACTTTCACACATTGATATAAGCACCTTGTTAACCATCCCTTTTAACGTCTGCATACTAATCCACTAAGCAGACACACTATGTAATTTACTTAACCTCTGCCCTATTGGTGGATATTTAAAACAGTTCCAAGTTTTTGCTAATATAAACAGCCACCCAGGAGCCCCCTTGGGGTCAAAGGCCAATGCAGTATTTTGGAATATTTCCATATAATACATTTCAAGGAGTAGGATTCCTGGATAAATAAGTAGAAAAACAATTTTAGCTTCTAAAGTTTCTCAAAGCATGTTCGCTGAACCACCTGCATCAGAATCCTCAAGATGCTGTTAAAATGCAGATTTCTGGGCATCACTCCAAGAATAGGTAACCATAATCAGAATCTCTGAGAGGTAGAGCCCAGGAGCCAGCATTTTAATATATTTAATATATTCCCCAGGGGAATATAATGAACACCAAAGTTTGAAAACCACTGATCTATATACAGATTGCCAACTTTTTTACTCCAAAAAGTTTGTATCAATTTTCATTCCCCCTTGTATTTTCTAAATTCAATGGCCTTTTCCTCTTCCCACTCCCCACACCCCCACATACATGCACACCCATATTCATGGGGCAGTACCCAAAACATATCAGCCCACCATGGAAGGGACCCGGGATCTCCCCTCTTCAGACTGCTGCCTCTATTTCAGGATCAGAGCTCCGTGCAGACAAATTGTCAGGGAAAATGTGGAGCCAGCAACTCTTAGAGAAGCTGCAGGGGGGCAGATGCTCAGGCTGGGAAAGCAGCCCTTCTCCACTTCTTTGTTTTTTTTTTTTTTTTTTTTTTTTTTGAGACGAGTCTCGCTGTGTCACCCAGGCTGGAGTGCAGTGGCCAGATCTCAGCTCACTGCAAGCTCCGCCTCCCGGGTTTACGCCATTCTCCGGCCTCAGCCTCCGAGTAGCTGGGACTACAGGCGCCCGCCACCACGCCCGGCTAGTTTTGTGTATTTTTTAGTAGAGACGGGGTTTCACCGTGTTAGCCAGGATGGTCTCGATCTCCTGACCTCGTGATCCACCCGCCTCGGCCTCCCAAAGTGCTGGGATTACAGGCTTGAGCCACCGCGCCCGGTCCTTCTCCACTTCTTAGCTGACATTTCACACCTGGGAAGTTCCTGAGAGCTGGCAGTGGTGGCACAGTGGGAGGTGTGGACTGTAAGCTGGCCACTGACCTCAGGCCTGTTCCCTCTGGGTTCAGCATAGTCACTCCCTATTACCAGATATGGATTCCCTGCTTCCCCACAAAGTTGACCCCAGGAAAAGTGGGAAACTTTACACCCACTGTCGTTTGCTCTGCAGCATGCGACAGGAACAAGAACATGGACTTTGGAGTTAGAAGGCTTGGATTTAAATTCTAAATCTGCCATTTGCTAGCTATATGACTTGGACACTTGATTTAACTAACTTCTTAGAACCTCAGTTTTCCCCTTCTGAAAAATGGTAATTTATAATTGCTATCACAAATAGATAAGTTATATGAAGCACCTGGCCCCATATCTGACATAAATTGAACCTTTGGTAGAGGCCAGCTGACTTGTCCCCTTGCCTCACATCTGAAGGTTCTCCTGTGGCTCACAGCCAATAAAGATCCTGGTTTTTACCTGTGTTGTAGTGCTTGGTACAATAGCCTAGATCCTTCTCATCCCGCAAGATAAACTGGGGCAGAGTCAGCCCCTCAGCCACTTGGACAGCAGGAGCATCTTCCAGCCACTCAAACACGAGGTCATTCATGGTGTAGCCAACTGAAAGTGACAGAGATGGCAGAGGGCTGCAGAGTGTGGGTGTTGGGTGGGGGTAGGGGTAGGATCAGAACAGGCAGGAGAGAACAGGTGAGGAGTAAGGTCTGGGGTTTAGGAGCTTCATGCTTATCATGGAAAGGGAAACTTTTCTGGAGAGGACACTTGGTCAGTTGTCACACGGGCCCATCCTGAGTGGGCAGGTAAATCAGGAAGACTATAGACTCCTACCCTGTTTTCAAGCTTGAGAAAAGCCCAAAGAGAAATTATTTTGGCAGACCTAGAAAGCAGGTCAAGAGGGTTGGAAAGATGTCAAGGAACCCAGCTAGGAGCCTCCTGCCATATCTCAAGCCCAGGGGAGTAAGCATGTGTACCGAACACATGTCTTAAGCTGAGCTAGCCTCAGAGCCAGAGCTTCTGCCACATCACCTCAGGGAGGAGACAGCTATTTATATCCTGCCAGTCATGCATGGGACAATGTGCATACCATAGATCCTAGCCAGGGCCTTGAGTTGGAACAAATTTAAAGCTAATATCTGAACATGCCAAGTTATTCACACATACATAGCAGTTCATGAGGGCTCATGCCATGTATATGACCATATTTGCACATGTCAGGTAGAGATGGGAGCAGAAACACCAAGGCTCACAGACATCCAGTGTTGGGCCTTGACCCAGAGTAGCTCTGTGACTTTGGATAAGTCACTTCCCCTTCTGTAAAACGGGAATTATAGTAGCTGCTCTACCCACTTTTCAGAGTTGCCATGAAGGGATATTGAGAGCCCGGGTGTGAAAGTGATTTAAGAACTCTAAAGAGCTGACCACACAAGACACATTCTACTCATTACAGTTATTTTATGCTGGAAATAGCCTTATAAGCCTTCTTCTGGGAACATCTAGTGGATGGCTCCAGATCTAACAGTCTCCCCCGACCCAGGAGATGAGGAGGGAGTGGAAATAAGTGATGGCCCAGCCTTGTCATCCTTGGTTCCTCTGCACTTTGGGCAGCCCCTCCAGGCTGGCACCCCTGCCACAGAGGAGCCCTTGGCTGACCTCTTCATTCTAGGCACTGTCCTGTGCCTAGAACTGTCATCTTCTACATCTCTACAAAGGTATCTGTGTTTGTGGGGAACCAGGGCTCCACGAGTGCCCCCACCCTGCCCACTCTGGCATTTTTATAGGCATCTTCAATGCCTGAACTCAAGGGAAGTAAAGGTGGAACTACTTCAGGCACTGTGAGAGGGGACACACCTTTGGGCAGAGAAGATGCCGCTCAAATCGCCCTCCAAAACAGCACAAACGCATGTGTGCATAAGGCTGATGCCTTCCTGTTCCCCAGCCCCATGGAACAGCCAGATCAGCAAATAGTGTGGGGATGAAAAACACACTGTTCTAGGGGTTAGGGAGCCCTGGTTTCTAGCCTCATCTGTGCCAAGAATTGGCTGGGTGTGCTTGAGTAAGTTCTTCCCAACTCTGAGTAGCCCTTTTCGTCTGTGATGTCATGAGGTCGGGTTAACTCACTGTTATTCCAGGTCCTCTGTGACTCTATAGAGACACTTACAACTCTCCAGCTGCATCGTGCAGGTCTGGATGTCCATGGGGAAGTTCTTGAGGTCCATTGGGCAGGACAAAATGAGGGTCAACCTAGTGGGGACAGTAAGAAAGAAATGACTTCGGCTTACTGGGGCCCATCACAGCACAAGGGAGCCCTCCTCCCACTCCTCAGTCTTCATCTAAATTCTTCTCCTGGCCATCCACCCGGTGCACCTGATGCTGTAGAGCACATTCCCATTCTTGAAGATGCGCAGTAACTTGTTGTCCGTGGTCACCTCATGGAAGTTGGCCCCTTTCTCATTGGCAAAGAACAGGTCTGGCTTCCAGATAGAGTCCAGCATGGAGGGATCGAGGTCCAGAGAGTCGTCAGGATATTCTCGGTAGGACAGGCGTGGGTCATTCCACTGTTGCCTCAAGAAGACATTTACCCGGTAGTCCTGGGAGGGTGCAGATATGGGCCCATCAGAAACATTGCCATTCCCAGGGGCCCAGCAAGCCTGTATGGGCAGGAGGGCCATGAGGAGGAGTGTTGGAAGCATATCTCAGGCAGTAGGCATTTTTCACTGGAGAAGGAGCCTTCCTTGGGCTGATATGGCAAAAGATGCCAGCTTGCTATCTGGTGGGCTCCTCCCACTCACACTAGGCTGGAAGTGGGGAGTGGGGAGATCCCTTACCATGGTGGTCTCAGTGACGGAGCCGAAACTGTTGATGAAGATGTTGCAGGTCACGTTCACGGGTGGGCCTGAGGGTAACAAAGCATAGGCCGTTGGCAGGGCATTCCAGGAGGCTGGGAGCAGCTTCCAGAACTCCCTCCCTGAGCTTCAGGCCAGGGCATTGCTGGGAGAAATCAGTGCCAGCTACACACGCCCATGGGCAATGGGGTAGGGAGGCTCCTTCTGAGCTGTTAGAACTAGCCCTAGCCCTGGACCTCCAGCCTCCTTTCCTTAGGGGAGGCAATAGGGGCTGGCTGGGTAGTGTGCTGCCAAAGGTGGTGGGGAGGGAGGAGTTTTTATAGGATGAAGATTTCTTACCTTTAAAATTGGGTCGAATCCTGGCATCATACCCAGATGTTCGCCCCATAAGTTTGTCTAGGAAATCAGAGGGGGACATGGACTGGGACCCCTTGGTTCCAGATTTGACTTCCTCTTTTGCCAAGGCCACCCTGGACAGGAGAGGTAAAAAAGTCTGAGGCCAGTTGTGTGCTGCATTTATCACAGACTCTCAGTTTCCATACCCCTCAGGCAGGAGGACAGAAGATGATGGGTCTCTGGGTGCCATTTGCAAAACGAGAACAAAAACAGCCATAAATCAACACGGCAGCCTACCTGTTAGTACTAGAAAAGTGTTTTCGCAGACAGTAGATCTTCTTACCCTCCCAATTCTCAGTGAGATGGGGGTGAGGACTGTTATTCCCATTTTACAGATGAGAAAACTGAGGCTTCAAAAGGAAGAATGACTTGTTCAAAGTCTCAGAGTTAGTGACAGGGTCAAGACTCATACCCTAGGCTGAGGCCTCATCCAGTGTTCTCTTTCTGAAGGTACTTGGAAAACACTCAATGAGTGATGTCTTGCGGGAAATGATATGGCTACTACAAAGTTTTGCCCGTCTAGCCTAGTCAAGGATGGGAAGGGCTCAAGGACAACTTTTATTTTTGAGAGTTGGCTTCAGTTGCTTGGGCTTTATGCTGGGCTGCTCAGGAAGTAGGACCCAGCATCTGAAGAGGGAGTTTTGGCTTCTGGCGCGTGCTCCAGCAGGAAGCTATGTTTGAGCTACGTTTTAGTTAAGAGCCATGCCACTGCAGGCAGGGGAACTAGTCTTGGTAACTATGGTGGGGAGGCAGGCCTCTAGGGATGGGGAAAAGCCTCCCAGTAGGGTAGACATGTTGAGGTCAACTCCCATATTTTCCCTGTTAACAGCTTGATTTTGAGGAAGGAGCCAGTGTGCTTTGGCATAGCTTAGAAGCCAGTCCCCTTTTCCCCTAACAGGTTTTCCTCTAACAGCAGCAAAGCCCCTTCCATATGCCTACTTACCAACTTGCCAGTTAACAGATAAACTAGGGATTAGGAGCTCAGCAAAGCCTTGGGGACAGGAGCAGTGCTCAGGGCCGAGCTCAGCTGGACTCCAGGCTGGGCCAGGCACCTCCTGCTCCCTCCTGCCTGCTGTCATTGCTCTATAGCCGACTCCACCACTGTCACTGCTGCTGCCACACTGTGGGACTGAGCAGCGGGGTAACTGCTGTCCTGCTGGGGACTAGTCTTCTTCTTTTTTTTTTTTTTTTAATTTTTTTTTTTTTTGAGATGGAGTCTCACTCTGTCGCCCAGGCTGGAGTGCAGTGGCCGGATCTCAGCTCACTGCAAGCTCCGTCTCCCGGGTTTACGCGGTTCTCCTGCCTCAGCCTCCCGAGTAGCTGGGACTACAGGCGCCTGCCACCTCGCCCGGCTAGTTTTTTGTATTTTTTAGTAGAGACGGGGTTTCACCGGGTTAGCCAGGATGGTCTCCATCTCCTGACCTCGTGATCCACCCGCCTCGGCCTCCCAAAGTGCTGGGATTACAGAGTTGAGCCACCGCGCCCGGCCGGACTAGTCTTCTTTGAGCCAGTGGGCTCCTCTTTCCCAGTAGATCCATGTACCATCCAGTGACCGATAGAATAATAAAAATAGCTAAGGCACCATGCTAAATGCTTTACACACTCTATCTAGTTTAGTTCTCACATTAGTCCTCTCGACTAAGTATTATGATTACCCCCATTATATAAATGAGAAGACTGAGGATCAGCAAGGTGAGGTGAATGCTTCACCGATCATGCAGCTAGTGAGTGGTAAAGCCAGGATTCAAATCCAGAGCTATTGACTTCAAAACTAGCTCTATGTATCACAATTACTATGGTGCAGGCAGCCCAGGGTGGGCTGCCAAGGAGCCAAAGTAGGGGAAGGTCAGTGGCAGCCCCACCCTGACCTTCTAGTGTCCTGCCTCCTTGAATCTTCTAAGCAAGAGGAAGCCCTTACCCTGGGGACAGAGGCAGGCTCTGAAAATCCAAGGAGGCTGGTGGTGGTGCTGGAGCAAGCAGAAGTCTGTGACTTCACCACAAGATGTCCACACTAGCCAGGTGCTGCTGCTGCTGGCCATCTGCCACCTGCCTGCTGGGAGGCCACATGGTCCTGCACATGGAGAAACTGGACCCTCCCCACTGTCCTCAGTCCCACTCTCAGGTCACCTCTCCTGCTAATCCTAGACCTAGTATCCTGGGACAGGCTATGGGCTTAGCAATCTTGGGCCCCAGCCCCTGTTGCAGTTCCCTCTTCTGGAGCTAACCTGTCTGAGGACCTAAGAGCAGTCACAGTGTGCAGCCACTCCCTCCTGTCTTTCATTCCCGGAAAGTCCTAAACACCTGCAGGACCTAGGAGGATCCAGAGCTGACAATCTTTCTCATGCAAGGTTCTGGGGCAGCACAGGGAGAGAACTCTAACTCTGGTGCTAGGTAGCTGAGCAACCTTGGGTAGGTCACTCCCCATCTCTAGGCCTCAGTTTCCATATGTACAATGAAGGACTTGGACTCCAGACTCTCTAAGGGCCTGTTTTGCTCTAACTGCCTCTGCTTTCCAAGTCCCAGTGGGAACGCTGTTACTGGAGCTTGGGCTTTGAGGCAGCCTCCCCTCCTGGAGGGCCTGCAAGGCCCAGTGTGGTGCCCCCTTCTGCCTGCATCCTCCTGTCAACCCCAGCTGTGCTGCCATTCCACTTTGAGCTGCTTTTCACTCTTTAGAAGTGTATTGCCCTGCTCTGCATCCCTGCCTGCCTGCCAGCCAACGTGTCTGCAAACAGTGGAGCAGGAGGCTTCGCAGAGGCAAGCAGCCCTGAGACGTTTTCTGGATTAAGAGGAGGAGGAGTATGCTGTAGTGGCACTGACCCCCTCCACCTTTGGAGGCACTCCTCTTATGACCAGGTCAGCCCAGGCTACAGCCATCTTTCCTGTTCAACTCACCCTGCCAACCTAGGCTGGCTCCTGGTCTAATGAGAAAGGGGCAGTTGGTGGGGGAACATTTACAGGGAGCCCAAAGGATGTCTTTCCTGCAAGCCCAGGAAGTGACTGCTACCTTTTCCCCCTCAAGGAATAGGGAGCAACCAAGTGAGCACAAGCAGGGTGACTGCAGAAGGCCAAAGAATGTCTAGCCCAGCTCCATCCTGATGTGGTCTTGGGCCAAACCCCTGCTACTTGAAGCCGCTTGGGCTGGCAGTTGACGTTTCTGTTGATGACAGATGTTTCTGTCATTTTTAGCGATCTCAGCAGTGTGTGGCCCAGATGATAGGGAAACAGGGTTAGGCGGCTGGACAGACACCCTCCATTCTGGGGCTTAGTTGCCTAACCCCTACCCAGGCCTAGGAAACCTCCACCTGTGCAGAAACATTCCCAGCATGACCAGGGCCTTGACATCTCTAATAAGAAGCTCTTGGGGTCCTAACGGGGGGGAGGGCATGTCCTCCCCTGAAGCCCTCCAGACTGTGGGCTTTGTGCAAACTTAGAGGAAAGTGTGCCAGATGCCCAGGTTGCCCATTCCCCTTGGCTAGTGTTTGCATGCACCTCCTTCTCACCCCCACTCAGCTCACCTGAGGAGGACCTGCCCTGGCAGGGTCCAGAGGAGAAGGAAGGAGAGGGTTGCAGGAACAAGAGTTGTCATTCCGCGGGGATCTTGAAGCCCTTTCTCAGCCTGGCTGCCAACGTGAGAGGGGATATCCCTGCAGGAACGCCAAAAGTACAGAGCCTTTCTCCAACTTGGGCTGCTCGCAAAGAGACTGCTCTCTCTCCTCTTCTGCCTCTTCTCCTCTGGCCTGTCTTTACCTGCCAGGGGCCAGAACTGTTCCCCTGGAAATGATCCTGACACAGATAACCCTACTGGCTTCTGCTTGGGCTTGCCTTGGGCTCCGGAGGGCCTTAGCCTGCCAGCCGGGAGCTGGAAAAGACTCTCTCTGGGCAGCAATCACTCTCTAAACCCTGAAGAGTCTTGGTGGGGAGGGAGGAGGGAGACCGGTAGGAAGATGTTTTCCTGCCTCCCACCTCCCCCAGATGCACCCTCCGAAAGCAGCAATTTAAAGGCACAGTCGGCAGCAGCTGGAGTGGGGTTCAGAGCCTGCCTGTGTGCCGGGGAGGAGCTTGGGCTGCCGTGGCTGCTTGGGGAGGGCCGGAGGTGTTCTGTCCAACCTCTAACTCCCCAGCCGCAGGAGGACATGTAAGCGGCCCTGCTCCCCCCGCCCCCACCTCCCACCCCCGACCAGCTTTCCTTTCATCCTGGAGCCAAGCTGGAGCCCAGCAGTAAAGTCCTAATGATTTTTACCAGGGGGAAAAAGACCTGAGAGGGTTTAGGCAGCACCACCAGGTATTCTCAAGCTGACAGCTTCAGGTTAGAGAGAAAGTGAAGAGGCTGAGGGTAGGGACAGCTTTCCCCCAACTCTCTGGACAGAGGCACAGAGGATGCATGATACAGAGGAACTTGGGAACCCTCCTCAGGTGCGGTCTGCCTGCTTGACAGTCTGTCTGTCCGTTCGTCTGTCTACCTGCCCCCATCCCACTTCGCCCTTGTAGTTGTGCAGCCATTCCCCTGCCTGCTTTCCTCCCTCAGGTCGTCTCTCGGGGTCCTCTATAGCTCTCAGAATTCCTCCTCCCAGACTCTCCTTCCCCAGCCTGGCTCATGGGAAGGGACAGAGAGGCAGAGCAGGGCTGGGACACATTAGGCTTTGCAGGCTTCAGAGGAATTGCAGCGGGTCAAGAGCAGTGACCTAGCGGCCCTCAGCGCTGGATGGAGGACAGAGGCAGAGGGGTGGGCTGGCCTCCTCCCTTGCCTCCTGCACATTTGCTTACAGCAACCAGGTGCTTTGGAAGCTCCATTTTCTCCTGCCTGATCCTTCCTCAAAAGTTCCAGTGTGTTATCTAAACACCTCTGAGACTTCTCCCCTCCCCCATTTCCTCTCGCTCTATCTTCTTTTTTTCACTCTACTCCTCTCTTCCTCCCCTTCTCCCTGAAGTTTTCCTTCATGGACCCTCTGTCCATCTCCATCTCCAATCTTCCTTGCTGTTTCTTCTCTGAGTCTCACTTTCTGTGTCTGTCTCCCTTTCTTCTTTCTTCCTCACTTTCTCTCCATCCCCGGTTTTCTCTTTCCACCTCCCCTGTATCTTCACTCTCTCACACTCTCCTCCAAAACAACAACAGTGAGAAGCCAAGGGTTTTCATTTCTCCCTCAGGGGGAACTCTCCCGCCAGCTCTGGGGAGTTCTGATTGCATGCTGTGGGGAGGGGTCTGTGCCACCTTCCGAGGGTCAATCCCGCAGCTGACTGCGGCCTTCTCAACCTTGCCAGAGAAGGTTTGAGGGGATTGGAAGCTCCTCCACATGGCCTATTGGCTATATGGAAGGATTAATAATGAGGCAGCCATGGGTGGAACCTGTGCAGCAGCTCCCTTTTGGCTGTGTTATTATTAAGGAAGAGAAATTTTCAAATCATAAATGAAAGGGTAAGAAGAGAATTTTAAATACACACTGAAATATTGACAGGGGAGCTGAGATTTTGGAGTTCGGACTGAGAACATTACAAGTCTCAAATAATGCCTATATGGTCAGTAAATGTAAAATATCCTAAAACGTCTTTAGCTGCCTTTTCACCTGCTCACCCCCTCTCCTTGTTTCCTTTAAGCATCATGATCCCCACTCCACGGGCAGGAACTGAGCCTTACAGAACCTCCCAGGGCAGAGCTCCTTGCTAGGGCGGGGAGGGGGTGGCTCTTGTCTCCTCTGTGCAACTCACTTCCTCTGGCAAACTCATCATGTCACTTCTCCTCCTTCAACAGTTCCCCATTGCTCTCAGGCTGCAGCCCAAGGTTGGTCACTCTGCTTGTCCCACTGATGCATCTAGAGTTGCCTGTTCTGTCTTTCCAGCTTCCTGCTGTTTTTGTATGTTGTTCCCTTTATCCAAAGTACTTTTCCCTCCACTCTTACCCTTCTGGACTGAGTCTTGTTGTCATTTTGTCAAGGAAGGCTTCCGGAGCTGCCCCCATGTCCCTTGGGTCTAGGGTAGGAGACTCTCCAATGTATTCCCACAGGACGCTCACCTTCGCAGCATTCTGTCACACTGTCACATTACCAGATTACTTGCCTGTCTCCCCTACTATCTCGAGCTCCCTGAAGAGCAGAGACACATCATCCACCAAATCCCTAGCACACTATAGGCAATAAGTGAACAGTTGTTAAAAGATGCATCCTGGGCAGGAATATTTCCTCAAGCTTAGTGCCTCTGCATCTCTCTCTGTCAAACAAGAAGTTTGACACACAGAGAGAGGCCAGCATGAGGTAATGGTAATAAGGAAAAATGAGAAAGCAGTTTTTATTCCCTTGTCCCTTAGGTCTGCGGCCTTACACTCCGTCATCTGGAATTCTTAGCCAATGGAAGGCATAGGCCCCTGGGGACCTGTCCATTGTCTTGGGTCCCACCTCCTGTGTGCCAGATTGGATCTCTGAGTGCTGAGATCATAGCAGGGTCAGCTTCATGGGAGGAAAGATCCCTTCTTGTGAGAGGCTGTAGCTATGATCAAATGTCTGGCTGACATGATGAAGAGATACAGCTTTCCTAGGGTGCTGGAAGCAGGCTCCTGGGGTATAGAAGGGAGAAAGGGAGGTAAAGAACTGGGTAAGCTGCACTAGGCCTTCACAAGCAGCAGGAGAGGTGTGAATTGGAAGAGTTCCCTGTAACAACAGGAAGCGACACTCTCCAAAGATGAACTCAGCATTTTCTGCTGTGGGAAGGGTACAAAGTTGTGTTGAGCCTTGCCCCACAACCTTTGTCTTTTCTCATCACTAAACTATGGAGCATATGCATCGTCATGTTCCAAAATGTATCGCACCCTTTTCCTGTTTTGCACCTGGCTGCCATACTCACCCAAGAACTGGCTCTCTTGCAGTGCTGAAGTTGTGTAGAAGCTACAATAGGCAAAATGTTTTTCCGAATGAAAGATATTATTTTGTCATGAAAAAACTACCATGCTGCTGAAAATGGATTAAGTACATTTTCGCAAGTGTTTCATTCCAGAAAAGAGTCTGTCACATTTCAGCCCTATGCAGGGAAAATTGCAACTGTGCCCTGCGGACGAGCAGGCTCCCTGAAATCTCAGTCTGAGGAGCAGCAGGTCTGCATCGGGATGGGTATTGTTTGGTAAATTCAGTGACTTCTAGGGCTACATTCTGGGGGGCAAAGTTGGAGAACCATTTGGCATACCTTTCTGGATTCGACTCCAATTACCCAGATGGTATGGCCCCCGGATTGCCTATCTCACTTATTGAAGTAGAGATTGAGCTGAGGGGTACTTTGAAAGGCAGTCTGTGTTCCCCAATCTGAGAAAATTCTCAGAGCTTTAGCTACCCTTCAGAAGCACTAGGGTAAGAAGTTGGAGGGGGGTTGAAAAAAAGACAGATGCCTTTTTAAAAATCTGCTGACAAAGACCGTGGTGTTTCAGTTGGATCTCTAAGGAGCAAGGCTGCATCTTTTTGCTGTGTGTGAATTTTTCTTTTCAGGGTTATTTTCAACTACCAAGGATATGACAATTTACTTGAAAGCGGAGGCTCAACTTCTGGTGCTGAGGAGCACTGGCATAAGAGGCAGGAAGCTCTTTCACCCTTGGGAGTTAAGGGGATGGTGCCTAGTGTGTGGGGGCAGTAGTGGTGGTGGAGGTTTCACAGTCCTAGACTCAGGTGGAGTAAGGAAGAACAAAACTGCAAATATGATAGACACATTCAGTGCTCTCTTGACTTTTGGACAGGGACTGGTTCAAGTCTGATGCTTCGAAGACTTGGCTTCATCCTTTTGTTTAATAGAATATTTCAGGTATGAGTTTTGCAAACAAAATGTGAAGCATGTGAACTTGGGGGAGGCCAGTGGAGAGGTTAACCAAATTCCTCTCAGTCTCCAAAGACAAACCAGATGTCAGCACCAGGATGGCACCAGTGAACAATGGCCCTGCCTCTGTTGCTGGGCTCTCTGTTAAGAATCCAGGGAACAACAGAGTGGTGAAGTTCCAGCTAGGGAAGGTGTAGTGACTAGCATCCAGATATGCATCGTTTCTCTCCTTCTGGATGAACCTTCAGAATCGTTACTCATCACATGAGCCACCTGAGAGCAATTCACTAGCTGTGCAGAAGAGTTTCATTAAGGTTTCCACAGAGTTTGCATTGACTTTCCTTGCCTCTTGGCTCTCGTAACTCTGCAACTTTCTTGTTCGGGGATGATAAGACCATGTCACGCCTCTCCTCAAAGGTAAATTGGTTTTTGCTTGTGATCATGCTCATGAATATCTTATTTTACTCATTTGGGGATTGTGATAATGCATGCTATGTAAGGCATGAAGCCCTTACATAACATAAAAGCAACAAAACTTGGAAAAATGAATACTTACAGTGTGGAATGGATCACAATCCCACTAATTCATGCATGCATTCAACAAGCATTTATTGAGTGCAAATCATATGCCAGATGCCAGATATTCTAGGCTCTGGAGATACAACAGTGGAAAAGCAGATGGAGTCCATGCCCCCATGTAGCTTACATTCTAGTGGGTCACTAATGTAATTCCTTCCCAAAGAAGGCTTCTGCCTGAGTCATCAGCAATGCCCCAGGGCCTGAGTGCCTCTCACAGCCTATGAGTAGGGCATTTATTATATGGCCTAGAAAATAGACTATTTTTTTCAGCAGGCAGTAATGAGCTTCATTTTTATCTATCCCAGAATCTTTCTGCTAGTCACATCACACAGGTCACCACCTGCTAGACACCCTTTCAAGAAGCTTATCCTTCAATAATCCAACCCTACAGAACACACATGCCCAAGAACCCTGAAAAGATAATCTTATGATTATCTCTGATGATGCATATATATTTGTCTGCAACTGTTAATAAGCACCTTCCTCACTAGAAGAGTTAGGCGGGATTAACAGCATCCTTAGCTGTGGTGTTTCTCTGAGTGGTTTCCAATTATTTAGGATCTTTCCTTCTTTCCTTCTTCCCCCTTCAATCTTTTCACTTTATCTTTCCTTCAGTCTATCTTTCTGTCTGTTCTCCTGTC